CCTCGGAGGAGACACCGGAGGGAAAGCCAGGAGCACTGTTAGCGGGACTGGGCTCCACGTCTGCGGAGGCCTCGCGCGGCACACTCGGCTGTCTTTCCGGCTCTGCACCCGAAGGAGGTTCACCATCGCCTTCAGAGACTTCCTCGTCGTCCTATAAAAAATTGGAAAAAAAAGAAAAATAAGCGCGTAGAAAACGATGAATGAAAAATTTCGAGGCAGGAGAGACCTGCGTGCGACAAACAAGTAGCCATCCAATGACATTTACTAATACATATTCTCTTGTACCAAATTATTGCAAGTAGTATTTTCACATGTGATTGCAATTTAGTATCGTTGGATCAAGTGTGTGTGTGTGTGTGTGTGTGTGTGTGTGTGTGTGTGGCTGCTAAGATAGTAAAACCCCAACAATTGCGCTTCTGAATCTGCAACGTCCAAATTCGTTGCGTTGAGAACAATGATAAATGAAGATGAATTTATTAAAATAATGTTTTGCTTATTGTATTCAATAATACTGTAGGTATTCTGATTGGCAATTAACATCGTACTATGAACTACGAAGTTCCTGCGCTATTGGCTTTGTTTACGTGTGCAAAATTCGCTTATCCAGACTACTGCTTGTGCATTATTATACTGTAAAAATGATGTTCTACTTATCGTATCCACTTACAATGCATTTATTCTTATCATATTTGTATATTTAATATAAAACACAAACACACGAGCCGTCTGCATTAGTATGACATCCAACTAAAATCCACGAACGAAATAACTGGGATTGACTGTTTGGCGTTACGACAAAGTTTTACTTGACCGCGAATAGTTATTCGTTTATTAATCGTCATCAGCCGACACCGACCTAGCCTCAGGCGCTGGGGCACCCGAGGAGTTAGCCGAGGACGGGCGGGTTAGCAGTAAAGTCCAACACTATCCGCGTGAGCGCCAACAAAATTTTATCTACTGCGCACTGCTTATGTTAAGGTCCCAGCCTCGATTAGCTTGAGACCCAGAGCTGGACAACCAAACGGAAACTGCCAATACAAGCGAACATGTGAGTCCCAGGAAGTAATTGAGAAAAAGATGACTCGGTCGCTGAGATAATACTTTTATTCGCCTGACGCCTCGAGATCCGTCACGGATTCGTCATCAGAGACATATCAGAGAGCGGTAGCAGATAGCAGGTGCTTCTGCTCTCTGATGACGAATCCGCGACGGATCTCGAGGCGTCAGGCGAATAAAAGTATTGTCCGAGCGATCGAGTCGTCTTCTCCACAAACGGAAATTTCTAGTTCCGGCCCACAATTAGGACAGATAGAAGGAACGTCACTCGCATGTGATTTCAGTAAAGGTTCAATGGGCTTCGTTAAACAATTTATCTACCCGATAGGTTGAAGAGAGAATAAAAAGCTAAATTGCAAAAGTCCAGGAAAATAAAACATCCATTGGTCTGGTGTCAGCCAGGATGACCTGGAGACCGGGAATTCTACAACAACAGGAAGATATCTACCTCTGGCCCGCAACCAAGATAGATAGAATAACGACATTTTCAGGTGATTTCTGTGGTTAGTGAGCTTCGCCGCATATTCTATCGCCGAGGAAGAGAGAGGATGTGCTAAAGAGACGGCTAATTGTAAGATCGCCGGGCAGTCATGCGGAACTCCGACATCCATTGGCCAAGTCAATAAAATGAAACCTCAGAAAGTTTCTGAACAAGTTTCGGAAAAAATTAAATGATTCTAGCATAACCGAACGGCGTTCTTAAACTCGCAAGATAAAACATGCCAGTCAGCCTCAAAAATGGAATTTCAAATGCTCTGCTCTCAACTACACCAGGGGCAAAGACTAGAGTAAACGCGGGCATAATCCATGAAACAAAACCGAGATTCCAGCGGGAAACTTCGGTGGATTGCAGCTCAAGGTCCGCTAAGCCACCGGTGTCCCAGACTTACCCAGTAGCGCGCGATGACAATGTAGGAGTCCTTATTGAAGAAGTGTCCAAACCACTCGGGCTCCACGGGCACCCAGTCACGGTCGAGAATGAACTGTTGCAGTGAGGATGTGGGCGAGCCATGAGAGAAGTCAGCATTCGGTTCCATGGGCTCGAGCAACTCATGATTGAGTTCCTGCATCAACTGGATCGCCTCATCCCAGCCCAGGGCACTATCGCGTGGGGCCAACAGGGCACGCAGATCCGTCTTCATTTTATCCCGTTCAAAGATGACATTCAGGTCTGAGCCGCGTTCGGCGATTGAGCGCGCGGTGCGCGTAAAGTCCACGGCCATTGCGGGTTCCCAGTCGACAAAGTGTGTGCGGAAGATCTGGGCAGGAAAAGCAGGCATGTGAGGATGGCGGAAAACGGAAACATAACT